ATGATCTTCTATATTAGAATTATCTCTTTGGCTTGTCTCTTGTGCTTCCATTGGTTCATCTGTTTCTGCGTATAAGTCTGTGAAATATTTTTCCCACGTATCTTCTGCAATTGTTCTTAGTTGTATTTTTTCATTTGTTTCTCGTTTTAAACCCCTCAACATCTTCCAAATACGTTTTGGTGCTCCGTACATATCCGCCTCCATTTCGCTACTAAATCGCTGCCAATATTCTTCTTTAATTTCTCGTACTCTTTAGTACTCTTTCTCGTACTTATTAGTCCTATTCCTTATTTCGGTGTAGATATTTCGGTTCTCCGGTTCTCCGGTGTTGGAAATTTCTTGTATTGTAAGTATTTTTCCTTCTTTTCCCTTGTAATATTCTTGACTTCTAATGTAAACCAAGGTTTAATGTTCGGTCTTCTATTGTGTGATACATTACGTGTTCCTAAAGCTTCTTTAGTACCTTTGCAGATGTTTTTTTTCAGTTTGTTCCAAGCTGTGTTAGGAGTATCAAACTATGCTATGGGGTTAAGAGTGACATGTTATTAAATACGATTAATATATATTTTTTTTGATTAAAAATATATTAATCGTATTTAATAATACGATTGATATATTTATAATGACATCCATTTTAGTATTCTGATGGCACTTTTTCAGGGCCAAGGTTTACGCTAAAGTGTCACACATCACGTAATACACTTTGTACATACGTAGGTACGCGATAAAGAGCTGACTATATGGTCTGAATTGGCAATAAGCCACGATGCCATTATGCAGTCGAAATTTTTCTCCATATCTCGATCATGAATATTCATACTGAATACGAATTATTTTATTGCCTCATAATGTAGCCGATCAACAATGATTTTAGAAAAAAAATACCATATTGATTCAGCCGAAATACACCTCAGCGAAAAAGAATTTGAAAAATATGTTAATCTGTTTTTCTGCTTGTTCATTTCTTGTATTGTTTACATTTTACGTTGTTGATAAACAAATATTCATTTTTTTTAATTCCAAGTAACTTACGCAAATTTAGACCTTTGGTCAACGGTTTCCGTAAAGAACATCCTTGTTAGAGATGTATAAAATTTTTAATATATGTATTTCTAGCAGTGTCTCACAGCTTTTGATACTGTCCAAAGGCAAGAAACAAAGATGCCTATTATTGATACGGTTACTATAAATTGTGATTTTCTGTTTTTTTTTTATTAGATTATTTCAAAGTTGTTGAATAGACACTAAAATAATTGACTTCGCTTTACGTGAGAGATCTCAAAACCCAGCAACTTGTAGTAAAAGAACTGCGTCGCGAGACTTATTTTTTACATTTTATATCTTTGATAGAATTTAATTTTTTTGGAGACCCAAAACTTTTTGTAGAATATATAATCTCACTGGCAAAAAAAACCGGCCACTAAAAACTAGTCCCAATTTCAAAGTTGGATTACTCGCGAACCACTCATTAGATTTTGATGATTTTTTTTTGAAATTGTAAATGAATTCCTCCTTAATGGATGCTACGTCAGAAATTTTTATTCCGAATTTATTGTGAGCATATACAGGGCACAACAATAAGACGAAGTTTTTTGACCAAACTTTGTAACACCCTGTAAGGTGCAGCAGCTGTAGTAGCTATTGCTAAATCAAATCACATTATAGTCTCATCTTTTGTGAGCATTTTGTTTTTTTAATCACATTATCTCTGTTTTTATTGGAGATACGCTGCTTTAAAACGAACGTCTCGGAAAAATGCTACGCAGGCAGAAAGTTTTATGTGTAAATAATCAAGGCGACATAGGCGAAAACGGATTTATTAGTATTTGCAATATGACAACAACGGTTGTCAAATGAAAAAATGTCATTATCTGTGTCGGATGTGGCTCGTATTGAGGCTTTAATAATTGAGGATGGCCGAAGTCAACGTTATGTGTCCGATACCCTGGGTATACCTTGAACAACAGTCCAGGATGCCTGGAATCGGTATATTATGGAAACCGGAAATTTCACCAGGCGAGTGGATTCCGGAAGAAAACGTAAGACAAATGCAATTGACGACCGCTTTATTGTCCTGAATACTTTACGAAAACGTTCGGTCTTCTTCTATGTCTCTTAGTTTTTCGTAGGTACCATGCTGTAAATTTTGTGGTCCATCTGTTGTCCGTTCTTTTTGTCAGGTGTCCTGTCCATTACCATTTGATGGATTTAACTCTGAGAATGACCATCTATTACCTGAGTCTTTTGTCGTATCCACTCTCTTCTTTTACGGTCTCTCTTGGTTATTCCCAGCATATTTCGTTCCATTGAAAGTTGTGCTACCTGCAGTTTCCTTATGATGTCTGTTCTGTTGGTCCGGGTCCTTTCTTTTGTTAGTCCAGTCCAGTTGACAGAAGATTTCTTTTAGTGTTACTGTAAACAGCTTTGGGGATATCGTATTATATCCCTGTCGTACTCCTTTGCCAATAGAGAACTCTAGGGTTGTTTTATATATCACTAGCGTGTACCAGCGACTTCGTTCGCGTCGAACTAATCATTTGTAATGATGATGATAAAGCAAAGCAAGAATTCCCATTAACATATAAACTGGATAAAATTTTCTCACATTTATGTCAGCATGAGAAAAAACAATATGGCGATATTATTATATAACTTGGTAATATTTGAGGGGTAGTTTCATCTCGCTGGAATTTGACTTTTTGCCAAAAATAAGCTTTTTACGTCAAGCAGTTTAAGCAGAATCGTGGTTAAGAAATTACCCAACTTTTTGGAACACCCTGTATGATTTTTTTAAAAATTTCAAAATATGTAAAAAAAACAAATAAATTATGCTTGTCCAAGCACTTTCCCGAAAAACTAACCGTTTTTTAAATAACAAATATTGTAATATTCGAGGGGCGTTTTCACCCTCTTGGAATTTGAGATTCGAGAAACTCCTCCTTATCGAACCTCTACACCCCACAGTCAATTCGTTTGCCAAAAATCAGCTTTAAACGTCAAGCAGTTTAAGCAGAATCGTGATTACTCAATGGTCATATTTTATGAAACACCCTGTATAAATTTATAAAAAATCTTAAAATATGTAAAACAACAAAATAAAATATACGTGTTTAAGAGTTTTTCGAAAAAACTCACCGGTTTTAAATAAAAAATATTTTAATATTTGAGGGATAGTTTCACCCCTTAGAATTCGAGTTTGAAAAATCCTTCTTATCGAACCTCTACACCCTAAAGTCAATCTGTTTTCCAAAAATCAGCTTTTGACGTCAAGCGCTTTAAGCAGGACCGGGTTAATCAATGACCATATTTTTCGAAACATCCTGTATACATTTTTAAAAAAATCTTAAAATATGTAAAAAAAACAAAATAAAATATACGTGTTTAAGCGTTTTTTCGGAAACTTAACCGTTTTTTAAATAAAAAATATTGTAATATTTGAGGGGTGGTTTCACCCTCTTGGAACTGGAATTTCGAAGAATCCCTTCTTATCGAACCTCTACACCCTAGAATCAACTTGTATGCCAAAATTGAGCTTCTTACGTTGAGTGGTTTGAGCAGGATCGTGATTAATTAGTATGTCAGTCACTTAAGGATTTTATATATTAGTATAGATTATATATCATTACTCTTTCTGTGGCTTCTTTGTATATATTGGCCAGAGTTTCTATACAGGGTGAGTCCTTAAATAAGTGCCAATATTTTCAGGGGTGGTATATTTCGACCCACGGTACACTACTGTCTATGAGGTTTTTCCGAAAAAAAAAATGTTGAAAATAGAACATTTTCTTTTAAATTTCCCTGTATATTTTCAAAAACTTTTTGGAACTGCCTGTTCGCCGCAAATTTTCCCACGTCCTATAAAAACGAAGTCTTAAAATCAAAACGCGTTTCTATGATAATATAATTTTGTTTTCATAGCTTTATAGATTGTTATTGGCAGAATTTTAATAAACATCATATTATGTTTTGCTTAAGAAGAAGAAACATTTATGTTTTTTTAAGAAGCATAAAATTAATTTAGTTTAATGCTACGAAAAGGGAGATAATAGTTATTGGGAAATATGATAACAACAAAGAATATGAATCGTAATTTATTTCTTCCTCCTTCTGTTATATCATATATTCTTTTACGTTCATATACAGAATGTCCCCGGACGGTTTTTACAAGAGAAAAAAAGAATTTTTTTGTTGATATTTTGAGAAAAATACATTCTTTATAAAATGTTTTGCTTGTTCTAAAATGGTTAATCCCGTTACAATTTTAATCAACGTCATATTTTTTGCAGTTTTGCTTTTTGTTAAAGAAGCACATAATTTATTTACTTTAATGCTTCGGAAAGGGCGATAATAGTTATCAGAAAATGTGATACTTTAGCAACATCAAAAAATATGACGCTAATCAAAATTAATAATAACTATCGCAATGATATTACCATCGTAAGTATTTAAATTTTATATATAATAATAATAATAGCTCCCGTATATAGCGTTTAACGCCTTGGGAGTAGCAAGGTACAGCTTGCCATACTAGAGCCGTTCGGTACACAAGGAAGGTAATGTGGCTAGCATTACACTTCAACCGCCTATTGTTACCTCAGAATTGTGAATCCCAAGTACTCGTTTAAGGCTGAGTGGACCTAGGTACCCAAACTATTTTTATTTTATTAAAAATAGTCGGCTGATGAAATGCCGGCTGTAGGATTCGAACCCAGAACCTTTAAATTGGTAGACGAGAGCTGTACCTCTACGCCACCGGGCACCATGATCCTTTGAATTTTTAAAAGTTAAAAAAAATCAATCATATTTTCATGTTTTTTTTTAAATTTGTTTCTAACACGGTATGGAAATTTGAAAACTGTATTAACCATTTTAGAAGAAACAAAATGAATGATTTATTCTCAGAAAGTTAAAAATAAAAAAAAATCCTCTTGTAAAGACAATCCGAAGACACACTGTATGAAGTACCTACCATTTTTATAATTTTAACAAACCATTTCCAGCATTGCAGCCAAGTGGTAAAACCAAATGACGAAATGAAAGACGCCGAAAGCACTGACAACATCAAAGAAGAAGAATGCTGCAGTAAACCGTCAGATCAAGACAACAAAGTGAAGAAACATAACCCGAACAGGACGAAACAGGAAAACAAATTGAAAAACACCTTCGGCTGGACCCGGATAGACGTCATCACCATGCTGATCTGTTGCGTCTTTTTGGGTTCGTTTTCCTTCTCTATTTACGTGGAGGCCTTTCAAACGCTGGCGCACATCGATCACCAGGACGAGATGCATCACCCTTTGTTTGTTTTATGTATAGGTAGGTGTGGGTCAAATTGGACGCTTTTAAAGGAAAACTACCTTTTCTATAGGAGATAGATGAAAACTCATATCGGCATGTGGAGCTCAATTTTCATCAAAAACATGATGGTGAAAACCGCATATCGATATCTGTTACCGTTTCGGAGTTACGGGGTATTTTTAAAAAACGTGCATTTTTAACAAATTGCTGTATTTTTTTTGCTTTGGATAATTCCTTCATACGTATTCCATGTACCTATATTGCACCCATAAGATTATTACTTACCCCCACAGTTACTACTTACTACAATATCCATATTAATGGACGGGCGGGTGTCAGAGTTATCAACAGAAATATTGATTTTTATTTGGGACACCCTGTATATTTTTAATTAACCGAAGAGAACTTAAAATTACCTCTCCAAAATTCCCTTCGAAATGCAAAATTTTTAAAAGTTCGCCACGTTAAACTATATAGTAAATAGTAGGTTATTATTATATAGTTATTATTTTTTCAATTCAAGAATAATTGATTTCCAATTTCAAAAATAATTGAATACGTAATCAAGATCCCAGCTTGATGGCCGTCGAGGCTGCCGGACTTAGTGCCTATGGATCTAATCCTATGGATATCTTTGCGGAAGAATAAAGGTTCTTATTTTTAAATATTCAAAAAAAAATTTTAGAGCTTTAAATCTAAACAAGAATTAGAAATACTTAGCAGTAATGAGAGGGTATCTTTCACCCCCACTGAGTTAATGAATTCTGCCACAAATGTTCAAAAACAGAAGAATATCGATATGTCGAACACCTGTAGCAAAATCTCATGTCTTTGGTTTGCTATTTATTTTTATTGTTATTAGATATAGTTTAAATGTGTTGATGTTGGTTAAATATAGTTTAAATTGTTATAAAATTCTGCATCTCTCAATATTTTCATTTTAATTGATGCTCACAGCTAGAATTTTTTTGTATTACAGTCGGGCGCCGTTCAAAGCCCACTTATTTAAAGTGAGCAAATTTTTATAAACTCTATATTTCGAAGAGGAATCGAGCAAAATATCAAGTGTGCTATATTTTTGGAATGCTAATTTTAAAATCTTTTCAATAAATTAATTATATACAGGGTCTCCTATATAAAAAATCAAATTTTCTGTTGATAATTCTTAACTAATTAATTTAAAAAAATATGCTTAAACCATTAAAATCTTCGTAAAAAGGTGCTTTGGAAATGTTTTCATAAAAATACAACATTTTCCATAGCAAAAAAGTTACAGCGATTTGTTAAAAATGCACATTTTTGAAAAACACTCCGTAACTCCTAAACGGTAACAGATATCGATATGCGGTTTTCACCATCATGTTTTTGACAAAGATTAAGCTCCAATTAGCCAAACTGGACAATTTTAAAGGGAAACGCCCTTTTTATAGAAGATAAATTAAAATTAATATCGGTGTCTTGAGTCTGGAGCTCAATTTTTATCAAAAACATGATAAAAATCTGTTACCGTTTCGAAAGTACGGGGTGTTTTTCAAAAATGTGCATTTTTAACAAATCGCTGTTAAAATTTTGTATTTTTATGAAAACATTTCAAAGGTACCGTTTTACGTAGAATTTAATGATTTAAGTATATTTATTTTTTTAAAATTAATAACTTGAGTTATCAACAGAAATAAATATTTTTTTTGGGGACACCGTGTATATTTTTAATTCACTGACAAGAAATTAAAATTACCTTTTCGAAAATATAACACACTTGATATTTTGTTCGAGGCCTTTTCGTAAAACAAATTTTTTAAAAGTTCGCCACTTTTAACTAATATAGACAATGTCATTATGTTTTTAAACTGATTTGAAGAGTAATAAGTTTTCGTTTGTATCTCTATTACACTACTGAGACAAAAATATAAATTTTCGCCATCTTTATTTCTCTCATTTCATTTCTATTAACAAAATTATTAATTAAAGTAAAAAAAAAAATATTTGAAAAAAAAACATCCAAATGACAGGTTTCTCAATCAATCGCAAATTTTTGGCAAATTAGGGAGCTTGCAAAAAAAATTGGAAAAGCAAAAAAATTGTAAACGGAAAATAAAAGCTGACCGAGCACGGTGTTCCCCTAAAACTACTCCCCAAAAAGTACACGATCTACCTGAAAAGCAGGGGTGGATGGGGAAGTGGAAACCGGCCCGGGAATAACAGGCAACCGGCCCAAATCCACAAACAAAATGACCATAACGAAGAAACATATTTTATTTATTAATATACAAGTAAGGGTGTTTTTCGCTCGTGCGAAGAAAGCTAAAAGCTCTTTTGCCTCTGTTTTTTAAAAAAATTAAAATTGTCTTGATCAAATTTTCACAAAGATCAATTTTACAGGGTTCTAATGCTTTATTTCTCAGGCTCAGTTTTACAGGGTTCTACTGCTTTATTTCCATTATCGATAACGGTAATTTGATCTGGAATAGGCTACGATTTTGAGTCACGATTTTGAGAAACTTTAACACACGATAGATAAATAATAATACCTCTTAGTACTGTAGAGAGGTAAGGTCAAAAAGTACTGGTTTTAAAAAATTAAGATTAAAGTTAATTATCCAACTTTTAAGGTATTTTTTTAAATTTACCAAGAAAATTATTCTCTCACACATCGTTGTCGCAAAGGATACACATCATGGCACTTTATTTTTTACTAAATGGCTACATTACAGTTGAGGGTTGGAACCTTTGGTGTTACACAGCAAAATAAAACACTAAATCACCACAATACACCAAAACACTTTTACTTTTACACTGGACGCGCGTTTCGCTAACCATGTTAGCATCATCAGCAGATGATTATAAACTAACTCATAGTATATTTATACAGCATACATACTATACAGTTAGTTTATAATCATCTGCTAATGATGCTAACATGGTTAGCGAGACGCGCGTCCAGTGTAAAAATAAAAGTGTTTTGGTGTATTGTGGTGATCTAGTGTTTTATTTTTGCTAAATAACTACACATAAAATGTTTTTTTAACAGTAAGCTATGCGTATTAACTTTGCAGTGTTCCTCCTGCAGTAGTCCAATAATTACATGCGCTGGAAAATTGTTCGTGTAGTTTTTTGCTATACAGGGTGTGTCTTAAATAAGTGCAAATATCTTCAGGGGTGGTATATTTTGACCTCAAGAACAAGTCTCAGGTTTCTTTTGCAAAAAAAAGATGTTAAAAATCGTGCATTTTCTTTGAAATTTTCCTGTGTATTTTAGAAAACTTTTTAGAACTTCCTGTTCACCGCAAATTTTCCCACGGTATAGTTTCTTAATCTCTGATATTACGGCACGAAAAGAGATGCAAATACCGAAAAATTGAGGCGACTCAAATTATTTTAAAAATAAATATATTTTTTTTAATTTTCAAACTTTAATAACTCGATTGGACTTATTTGAAACACGGTAAAGAGAATATGTTTCTTTTATTGAGAGAAAGACATCTTACAATAGTTATTTTACAAATTGCTGTTTATGTTTTTAAGCAACTGACGATTATACTGATGCAAATTGATTAGTTAGTTATGGAGTCTCTAAGAATCTTACTGTCACTTTAGTTAGAAGATTAACCATTTAAATTTTGCTAATCCAATTTTTTTTTTGAGTTCTGATCGGGACCGGCCCGCCCACCGGCCCATCTTTCCACTGGCCCACCGGGAATTTTCCCGTTTTCCCATATGGCCCATCCACATGAAAAGTCCCAGTCGACGAATTTAGCCGTGGTTTCAACTTTCATATACTCGACTACCATTTTAATTCGAAAATTGAATATATTTTTCAGGTGCTGCAGGTCTCATCCTTAACGGAATTTGCTACCTTCTTATCGGAGGATATACTTTCCATCAAGGCAGTTTTCTGTACGTCACCGAAAGTGGAGATGTCGTTTTAAATAAAGTCGTTGTCAACGATTCGGTGCGTAAAGGTGCAAGAAGATTGTCCAGAACGAGACACATATTCTCATCGCCTCCGAAAAAGAGACAAGGTTTATGGGAGGCTACCAGAGATATTATCGGTAGGAAGAATACAGCAAAATTAGTCTTGAACTTTATGAAAAATACTTTTATATGTTACAGGGTGTGCAGTAGTGATGACATGCTCAGTTATTATACTCTTCACTGATCCTTACGTGGCAAAATTCGTGGATCCCATTCTATCCGTAGTCTCAGCTACCTGCATCATGATTTTAAGCTACCCTTATAGTAAGTTAAATAAAAGTAATAATAAACAAAATATTTTATGGGTATATGTGGGGAGGTAATGTGTACAATTTAAAATTATTTTGAAATGTACAGGGTATTTCAGAAGTAAGATCCATACCAAAGTTATATTTTTTCTTATGGAACACCCGGTATTTTATTTCATTTTTGGATTCTTGGGCCCAAAAAAAGGTATTTATTATAAGGGTTAAATATGTTTAAAATCTTTGGTTTTTGAGATATTGAAAGATTAAGGTAGACATTTTCATATATAAATTCGGGTCAGAACGTCCTACGACGTTGTCCGATGCCTAACTTCCACCCTGTGCGATTTTCCCATTGATCTTCGGTCAGATTTTTCTCACTCATCGACCTTCTTATTCCTTCGATCCATGTTTTCTTGGGACGTCCTCTCTTTCGTTTACCAGGTGGTATCCAATGAATGACTTGTTTTGGAATTCTTTCATTGTGCATTCTCTGAACGTGGCCGTACCATATTAATTATTTTTGTTCTATATCATTTACTATTGCTCTCTCTATTCCCATCTGTTGTCTAATGTCTTCATTTCTGATCTTATCCCTCCTTGAAATTCTCATTGCTCTTCTAATCGCGTCCATTTCTGTTGTCTCTAATTTCCTTTTATTCCTTTCAGTGAGTCGCCATGTTTCACATCCATAGAGTAATATGCTTTTAACTAGTGTCCCGTATATATTATTTCCTGTTTTTTTGTAATTTCAGTGCTCCATAGAATGCCATTTATGCATCTGATAACTCTTCGTGCCTGTATTACTCTGTTATTTATTTCTCTATCGTCCGTTCCATCTCCTGTAAATATCGATCCCAGGTACCTGTAATCTTCACATGCCCTAATTTTCATATTATTGTCTAAAATAAGATTTTCTGTATTAGCTAAAATTGGAAGGTATTTTGTTTTTTCTGTATTTACTATGAGACCCCATTTAGCATATTCTTCAATTATTTTCCGCACCATATATTCCATGTCATCTTTGTCGTTTGCAATTATGGCCTGGTCGTCTGCAAATTGCAAGGTGTATAGGCATATGTCATTTAGTTCTATACCCATTCCGTTACATTTTCTTTTCCATAGATGTAAGGCCTTGGCAATATAAATTTTAAATAGTGTTGGGGATATACAGCTACCCTGTCGGAGCCCTTTAGTGATAGAAATTTCCTCTGAGAGTTGACCGTTTTTATTTGTGATTTTCCTCCATGGTAAAGATTTTGTACAGCTTTTATCAGAGCTGCGTTAATTCTTGATTCGTACAATACTTTCCATAATTTTATTATTGACACTGTATCATATGCTTTTTGTAGATCGATGAATGTTATATGAACTTCCTGGTTCATTGCAGATTTCTTCTCGATGATCTGTTTCAATGCACAGATATTATCTGTACATGATCTTCCGCTTCTGAAACCATTCTGCTCTTCTTCTTCGTGGCTGGAGTATTCCTCTTCAATTAAGTTCCTCAGTATCCTTCCATAGAGGCGACTAGTAGTGCTGGTGACCGAAATTCCCCTGTAGTTATTGGGGTCCTTCCTTGAGCCCTTTTTATATATAGAGGAGATATATGCTTTTTTCCGCTGTTCAGGTACTGGATGACCATTTAAGCACTGGTTAACTATGTTTGTTAACATTCTAAACAGTTTTTTGCTTCCAGATTTTATGAGTTCCGCATATACTCCCTCTGGGCCACATGCTCTTCCATTCTTTAAAGACATTATAGCGGTCTTTATTTTCTTGGTATCCACGTAGATTTCCTCTCCTTCAATGTTTATTTCTGGCTGTGGCAGTTCTTGATACTCAGGTCTGTTCTCTGACAACAATATGGAATAACATTTCACCCATTCTTTGTCGGTTATTATTTCTATAGGGGCTGACTCCTGTTTTTCAGTTGTTGTTATTTTTATAAATCTCCATATTTCCGTATTCCTTCTTCCGCCTATATACGTATTAATTTCTTTGCATTTGTCATCCCACACTTTATTCTTTTCTTCTTTTACCATTCTCCTCACCTCATTTTTCTTGTCATTATAAGTGCGCTTGTCTAGTTCAGATTTCGAATTTAGCCTTAAGACATTTTCAATTAGTAGGAAAAGTTATCAAACTTTCAAGAGAAATTGTGGTTGGAAATCAAAAGTTGGTTGTTTTATAAGGTGAATATTAGGTTTTCTCTATGGATACAACTGACTAAAGCAAGCTGTTGCTAGGACATTCTATTAATTTTAATTATAATAATAAATAATAATTTAATTAATGATCGTAAACTAAAAAGTATAAAGTGTAATTGAATTCACTAATTTATTCCACTAATTGCGAGGTTCTGAATGAAGCTTACGTAACAAAAATTAAAATAAAATTTACAAACCAAAATTCTAATATAGAACTTTTTCGGTAGCCTGGCTCCCCTGTATTAATTTATTTTTCTTTTCTTTTAGTTAAAGAAAGTTGTTTAATTCTGCTCCAAACGATGCCAGATACAATTGATATCGAAACAATGAAAAAAGAGTTGATAAACCATTTTCCTGATATAATCAACGTACATGATTTTCATATTTGGCAACTCACAGCCTCTAAGATCATATCGACAATTCATATTATATTCGAAGATCCTAAGGTAAAATGATTGTTTAATCTTGTTTTTATAATTAAAGATATTTAATATAATTATTAATATCATATGCAGGTTTATAGAAATATAATGGAGGAAATTAAAGAATTCTTTGCCGAAAATGGAGTAACCCAAGTGACTATACAACCAGAGTTCTTTCGACAAAGTGCTAGTTTGGAAAAACTAAACACCAAACTTCCTCCTGTTTGCTTGGTCGCGTGTCAAGGAGAAACGTGCAAATTGAATCATTGCTGTCCAAGTTACGAGGTATATACAAATGAAAATAAAAATAATTAATTAGTAATAATGTTAGTTATAAGTAGTTTCATTAGTAAAATAAGCATAATATAAAGGGCATCATAATATACAAAAAGTAAAAAGACCTTAACCCCTACAAGTGTACCAATTTTTGCATTCAGTTTATCAGAATAAACAACCATCCAAAGACCGATTGCGGGAATCTAATCCCATCATTAGGCCGATTTTGTTGGATCCTTCGATCTGACAAACAAAAACTCAGAAATTACACTTTTGACAAGAGAAATTACAATAGACCTAGTACCATTAGACGATCAAATCTATTTTTCCAAGGCTCCTTGATTAAGAACTAGTGTTTTTAACATAGCCATAACACTCTAGATTGCAATTATTTAAAATACGATTTTTTATTAACCGAGAATGCCAAAAGTTGACATATGATATGTCATTCGATTAAAAGTGTCACTTTCAATCGAATAAAGTAAAAAAATACCGAGGGTACCATTTAAAAATCAAAAGTTGCAGTCGTTTCCGGTGAAACAGGAAGTGACCGAAAACAATTGAATACGTCAATCAATCCTCATTTATATCATATACTAACATACCAACTCTCGTTATTTTATGTGATAAAATTAAAAATGTTATAGGGGTGAGCCACTTTTGAGACGCGCCCTGTATAATACTTTAAAATACATCAAAATTTTAAGGTGTCTCTAACTGCAATCCCATTTTGCATCATTATTAGCTTCATTCATTAGCTCCATCTACGGTTACGAAACCGTAGATTGGGCTTTGATTTACACTGAGCTTGTTTATAGATGAAGCAAGCGTGTAGGTTTATTAACGTTTGTTTTTTACTCGTTTTAGGATTTAAACATGTTCAAATCTTCTTCGAAAGAAATGTTTATATACTCGGAACGATCAACGCCAACATTGAAAGCTGTGAGAATAATAGACGATGAACTGCACTCGTATCAAGGCTCAACATACAGTATAAACACTATTGGGACATCTGGTGGGCTTAAAATCGAATCAGTTCTAGAAAAACCGGATATACAGGAAGAAGTTGAAGAGGAAATTCGAAACTCAAATGAAAAGGACTCGAAAACAGATAACTCGCAATCAGATGAAACATTGGAAGAAAGTACGATAGAAACAAACAAGTCCTTGACAAAAAATAGCGATACAAAAAATACAGATCACTGTGATTCAGTAAATAAGACAGAATGTCCCGAAATAAATTCTTGTAACTTAAACCAACAAAATATCTCTTGTTCAAATGAGCATGATAAAATAGATGTACAGACCAAAGAAGAAAATACGATTAATGCAGTGACAGATGAAAACAGATCGACAAATAGTACCGAAGAAAAGTGAAACATAGTGACAATACTTTTTTGCGTAAAAGTGGCTGTGTTAGAAATTAAGACTATTTCAAAATGTCCATATATATTTTTATAAGATTAATTAGCCAATAATCGAATAAGTTTGAGAACACTACCCAAGTAGCATTTTCACGACTTGCGACCACATGTTTACTAAACACAACGTTGGATTAGTTACAAAAAATAGTTAGCTCCGTACCTTAGGTATTAAAATAAATATAAACAATGTTGTAACGTTGTGCCGACGTTGAACTAGTACTACAACAAAGTAAAAGCTTCTGCGACGTCGAATAAACGTTGTCTTGTAACCTTTTTTGCTTAAGTGATCTTTAGGTGATTCGAACAACGTAGTTACAATGTTGGGCAATAAAGAGTTTTCCGACGTCACTTTCAGGACCTATTCCAACGTTATGCAAACGTCGCCTGCTTTGCTAATTCCAACGTTGTTTAGATTTACGTTGGTAGGACGTCGAGCCTCTACTTTTTTGCAACTGTATTGAACCATAACCTTAAACCTTAAATTTTCACTTCATTGTTCTGTTGAGTCAGACAGTTCAGTGCTGTTTTTGTTTTTATAGAAAAAACGTAATTAAAATGGGACCTAAGAAAGGCATATATAAAACAAATTTATATATACATCGACATATTACCGATACTTTATCCACTCCCTCGTTTATTTAGAATAAGAGGGCGGCACAAGCTATAGACTCTAGGATGACTAAATTAGGCAATCTTGCGACTAGTATACTACCTGTTAAGGCTGAACTGCGACATTATTAGTCCAGTATGCGACTACTCGAACTACTCCATCTTAATCTTCAAAACAACAAAGTAAAAGCCGCCATGTTGTTGAATAAGAAAATGTTTCGTTCCTAAAATAGCAATTCGTGCTTTTTAAATACATTAACTTGAAATATTTGGCCCTATACAACACGCGGAAACAATTTTTTTTTCGACTGCGAAATTATTCTCATTTCCGGTAACGAGTTACAGAGTTGGTTAAAGTGATTCAATAATTATCATCTTCAGACATCCTCCACACTTAAATACTTTTGTTTTGTTTTCCTTTACTGCCATCTGGCATATGTCTCTAACTAAATCATAAAAATAATATTTTTACTATAACTATCCCAATTTAGGATAAAACGCGACTTAGACGCCATATTATTATAGTTTTGTATTTCTGTGAATCAGGATTTTAAACAACGTTCCAGTTTATGCTAAATTAGGCTGCTAGCCAACGTAGGTATCCAACGTCGATTCGACTCAAAAATTATTCTCCAAACTAGTGCAGACTAGGGTTGGCACGAGGTTGTGCCGACGTTGCGCCCCGACGTTTGGTCGCGTGACACAACGTTGTCCCTACGTCCAAATGCTGCTTGGGTATGGTACTCTTAAGGGTAATAATTATAATTGACTGGTTATTAATTACAATATCTTGCAACGTTATTTTTATAAAATTGACGAGATAATATCGATATGATTAAAAATCTAGTCTGTTTTAACTGTTTCATTACGTGATGAGACTTTATCTTAATGATGAGATTATTGTTTTGTACATAACGTTAAAATACTGTGATGTAAATACAATTAGGCATTAAAGTGTACGAATTATATGTAACGATTGATAATCAAAATAAAAATGTCTTTTAAAAGTAGGTACATTTTATTGATTTTAATACAAATAAAAAAATAGTATATTGGAATAGAAAAATTATTTAGAATTAATTTACCCCTTCTTAACTTTACTTAAATTGAACTCCAACTCATAGCAGCTCTTTCCAACATCGTGCTCCATTTCTACTTTAATTGTTGATGTGCCAGCGGCCATACTAAGTTGATTCTTGTACTTGGCGATACTAAATTTCTTTTCGGCACCAGCACAAATCTTGCCCTAAAAACTTATTATTTTGAAATGTGTCTTTGACGGAGAGAATCCTTACTTTGTATTACCAAAGTCTACCGGGTGGTGATCGTCGCTGGAAGCATAGCAAATTCCAAGCAAATTTTGAACTGTCCAAATATTGGTTCCCATATTAATTTAACAGCTTAGTCGTAATTAGTTTTTTTTTAATGGTCTGCCGATGTTGAATACCAAAATAATAAATAAATGAAGAAATAATGCCAAATCTGAACAATTTTGGACAAGCCGATTTTAAGTAATTTAAGATAAACTGCATCTATTTTAAAATTAAAACTGAACAGGTAACAATAATGCAAAACCAGGCAAATGCCAACCATTGCCTGGAAACTTATATGGTGAAATTTTGATAAAATAATTTAACACACAGTAAAAACACGGTATGTCGCTAGTGGTAGGAAAAATAATTTTTAGAGGTTACTAGTTTATTTGGTTGCCTGTGATATGCATATACAGGGTGATTCCTAATTAATCTAAAAAATATAAAATCGTTAGAAAACGAATTAAGGCGGGCTCTTAATAAGTATATTTATTTTTTTTCTCGACAACCGTTTGATGAACAAGAAAAACTCAAAAGATCAATTTTGTTGAAAAAGGATGGCCAGTCAAGAAAAAATATATTTTCTTTAAAATAGCAGTAGTGTACCATTTATCTTAAGCAAAATATCGATTTTTTTTAATTTTTAACACCCTGTAGATCAGAAAGGAAGTACTTTAGACCTAATGGTTATATAAAAATTGTTTTAAGAACACATGAGGAATCACACCATAATTTTTTTAGACTAATTCGAAAACACCCTGTATATTGTCAACTTGACAATGACTGCTGATAAATAAAAAAAAACCTTTTCAGTAAAAAAACCCTGATTTTCGCAAGAAAAATTTTGATTTTTATTGAATTTCGGCCTGCGTTTGCAAATACTGGTTTATTTTTTAATTTTCTATCTATCTAAATTTTAAATATCATAGTCAGAAATAGTTTTACTATTTATTAACTGTAAAATTGGTGTTTTCTTGTTGTGTTGCATCTTGCAAAGAAACTAACAAAACTGCAAAAATGTACGTGTTTCCAAAAGACGATAAGGTATGTATCTTAGATAAAAGAAAAATATATGGTATGTATTCATTGTTTGATTTTTTTTCGTTCGCTTTAAAATCTATAAATCCCGGTCTGTTCATTAGACAGCCAGTCGACTTACGATCATTTACATGAAACTCTGTAAAATAAATAAAAAAATAAATTGTAATATATAATATATATTCTTATGTTTTATTAAAGTTACTCTGATATCAGTGTAACTTTAAAAATAAATCCTTTGAATTCAAATATAAACATAAAAAACATTTACAGCAGAAAAGACGAAGGCGCTGGGTTAAACGTAGTCTCCACTAAAAACACGGAGGGGCGCTTTGACCCAAAATTTTACTATTAAGTTTCATATCTATCTTAATAGTAGATTATTTTCTTTTATCTATGATGCCAACGTACGTTAAGTTGTCATCCTATAATTTTGTCAATGTATTTTCAAAACTTTGGCTTTTGCCTCATCCGAAACAGTTTTAAATAATTACAAAACTATATTTCGGGGACACTAGCGTATTATAGTTACAGTACTGTACCGGGTCACAGTGCTTCGAACATATGGCTCTAGAGGACAAAAATGCAAAACTTCTCTTTTATAGTAGGCAATTTATTCAAATTAGGTTTATTTGACACAAATGATGAGTACTCTCATTGTACTAAATGATGATGTTCTTAGTCCCACGTTTATGAAAAAAAATCTTATAAATAATAATGATGTTGGAGCTGTGTTCCATCTAAGCAAATAATAATTTATAGTATGAAAACGGTGTAAGTATTAAATAAATCCCTGTGATAAAAAATAATTGAAATAACATTAGAACATGATTCCTACAATATAAGCCTAATATAAGATAAAAATGTTTTCTTTAATGAAAAAGAAACATTAATGTTATATTTAATTAAAAAAAAAACTTAAGATACTATAAATTTACTTTAGGACAACAAAATGCACAGATCGTAACTAGTCTGATTCAGGAGAATCACTGCTGACAGAATCTTCCAAATTTATAGTATCCAAATCACAGGTAGATGAAGTATCCTCACATATAAGATATTTCTGTACATCATTTTCTAATATGTTACTTTTTCGCGTTGTTACTGTTCATTTTGTCGGTATGAGGGGTTCGGATGTTAATAGCTACCTCTTTAATAGACCATATTCATATATTATTTTTTCCTTTAGTTGGGCATGAGATTTTATAATAAATTGAAAGATGGACACTTTTTTTATGCGACGTTTCGCTCCAACATAGTGGGCTTTTTCAGGCACAAGTGGTGTCTCATTTGACTGGAAGGTTCATCAATATCTAATAAGAACGTATTATTTGAAATACAAATAATTTTGAGTTCTTGTCCTTATGATCAAGCCAAGTATTAGCCAGATCGGCATTGCTTATCAATTTTACTCCATCTGAAAAGTATTATAAAATAAAGTTCGTCCAAAGCAGACGCAGATGAACTATACAAAAATTAAAAGTGTATGAACATGGCAACAAAAATATTCAATAAATACGATATGTTTTGATATGTTTTTTTTAAATGCCTTTTGAAGTTTGAAAACGTAAAATTTGTATACCCATTTAAGAATCATCTTAAAAATAAATAAAAACTAAACAATCACGAACTTGTTTAGAAATAAATTTAAAGTACATACCTTGTTTAACAATATCCATAGTGGCTTTCAATTAAGTACGTACCCGTTTAACTCCATAATATACAGAACTACTATGAATGTTATTCTTTTCACTGATGAGATAATGATCATCGCAAAATTAATTTTAGTGAAAATATTTGCTAACAAAAACGCTGTTTATGAAAAAATAATATACAGGATGGTTGAACATTGCTATAAGTATAAAATTATATATTCAGATATTAGTAAATTTTAACTTATTTTTTGATTTTTGCCCATGGGACGAAGCACTGTGCGGGTGGCCAACTAAGAATGGACGCCGCCGCCGGCTGCACCTCGGAAACTACTTATCATAGGAAAAAATTCTAATAAGTAAATTGACCAAGAGAAATCGCTGGAAATTATTTTCTAGTTCGAAAAATATCCGCTAGAGGGCGTTTCTCTGATAGCCAATCAGAGAACAGGGTTTTTCTCAAAAATATGCAGGTGAACAGGTATTTTAAATATTACTAATGTAAGCGCCGAGAAATTTGTAATTTTTTTGATATAGACAATTTTGCTCTATCTCATGAAATAAAGTGGTGGGGGAAGGTTAAACTTGCTTTTATTAAAATAAGGATAACTCTGGTTTAGGTTAGCCGATTTAAACAGACTAGGGCTCGTTTAAAAGAGCTTTTCTTCCTTAATCATCTTCAGTGTAAATTTTGTTTCCATATTTTTTTCGTGGTAGCTAGAGGGCGCTGTTTGACACCATAACAGATATTGCGCTTTTGCAGAAAAAAATTAAATAGGAGGTTATATTTCTCTTTACACAGTTAAATAGAGCACAAAATTTCCAAAAAATCAGCGCAAACCGCAACTTTCTATCTTCTCTCTAACCGGAGATATTAAGGGAACAAATCATCTTAGGCTGCCGTTTAGGATTATATATGGTCTAAAAATTATAGTAGTAAGCTAGGAAACAAAAACAGGTAATTTGATTACGTCAAAATATCAAAACGATTAAGTTCAGTTTTCATGCATCCGAACTTAGAGCGTTTTCTTAAAAAAAATTACGTCATATGTTTTTAAACGTGTTTATGTAACATTATCGTCCATCAATACAATTTTTACGAATTTGTTGGTTAATTATACGTAGCTAGTTCTCAGATTAAAATGTCCAAAAGTCGGACAATCAATATTTTTATTTATTTTTATTTTTTAATTTAATTTCTAGAAATTTTGTGCCGCCATATTGGTTTTAACAGAAAACGGCCGAATTTCGTATGGCCGAAAACTAGGGATTTCATGCAACGTCATTTAGTTATTTATCCAAGTTCGTCCTTGATTTCACTTGTTTTTGTGTTTTACCTGTTTTTTGTGTTATTTATTATTATATTAAAGTTTATGTCGTTTGGGTCACTTTTCAATATGCACTACTGGTCCAAGTCTACCCTTGATGCAAGTAGTTCAGCACCAAGACCGTTGGTCGGTAAATGTTTAGGCAGGAATACTAGGATGGCGAATGACTGGACTTTTTTAATTATCTGAATGAAATAATAAATGATCAGGATGAGTGTAGTTGGTGTAGTTGATGCAGTTGGTGCAGTTGTGCCGCTAATTTTGCTATGAATGTGTGGGGCTTCTTGGATACCACGTACTTTAGTAGATAGAGTCGCTGGTGTGGCATATTTTTCATGGCCAGCTAGGTAATTGGATTCAATAAGCCTGGTTTTTATTTTCTGGTGTCGAATCAAGAACGAACATGGATAAATAACAATTAAATGATTATTATTAAAATGAAACTAAAATGTATGTTTTGATATTTTGACGTAAACTAATTTACCTCTTTTTGTTTCCTAGCCTATTACTCTAATTTTTAGACCGTATAATCCTAGGCGACAGCCTAATATGATTTATTTTCTTAATATCTCCCGTTAGAGAGAAGATAGAAAGTTGCGGTTTGCGCTGATTTTTTTTGGAAATCTTGTGCTCTATTTAACTGTGCAAACAGAAATATAGCTTCCTATTTAAATTTTTT